ACATTTTATCAAGTTGAAATTGTCTTTATTATTTTCTGTGAGGAAACATCCTAACGACTAAAGATTTGATAAAACAACTTCTTACACTCTCTAATTTGCCTCAGACCTCTACTTGGTGGGTGTCAATTATAAATTAATAGGTCCTTTCTGAACTCCTACTTTATCTTTTCAAGTAGAGGAAAGAATGTCCACATTTGAGGACCATCTTTCCGTAGGAAGACCTGTAAGAGTTCACTAGGAGTCCTTATGTGGGTTATTGATATTTAGATGATTTTTGATTCTTTTCTTGAGGAAATTGACTTTGAAACTCTTACTATTGGCTGCCCATCCATCATATCTTTGTGTGTATATCATAATATAAATGTGACCAAAATGTCATCAAGCAAGGGCATTTAATGCAATGGAATTAGAAACATAGTTATTAAAAATAGTTGTGGCTTTCAGTGACTTCAAAAATAACACCAATCACACGTAATGAGAAATAATTCTCTTCACTTGGATAGTAAATATAAAAAGTATGACTTTGTCACTTAATCATGTAGACTTGGAAAAATTGATCAACTTACATGAACTTTAGATATATCAGTTATTGTTCTGCCACATAGTGTGGATGTTTTGAAAACCGTAAAGCATTATGTATATGTTAGAGGTTCTGAACATTTATCAGTATCAGTAAATGATGCTGATGTTCTATTTGTTTATATCTATTTTGAAATGTTTAAGATTTAGCATCATATAGGTCAAATATTGTGTATTGATCTTTATGACATCATAGGATGGGTCAAAATCTTCTCATTTCTCTGATAAAAAAGAGTACAAAATGAGGGTGCCAAATTCCTTAACCGGTTGTAATTTGGTGAGTTAGAAGTATAGGAGGATTAGACTTTAGGTTCCATTGCATTGCAAATAAGACCTTTTTAAAGCTCCTGAGACTTACTGTCCTTGAAAGTAGAATTGTCCAAGGAACAAGAACAAAACATAAATTTTAACGGTCAGTAGATACTAAGAAATAAGATTTAGAGCCTAAAAACACATCCTCAGCTGTGATTTCATGTGACTTTCAAGAGTATTCTACATAGAAATATTTTATGTAACATATGTAACATGTACATTTATATAATTATGTAATATTTTGTGTTACATGTATTTTACTTATTATGAAAATGAAGCTCAGAGGGATTAAATGACTTTTCCAAGGTCACATCACTGATGAGTTTCACAGGTAGAACTTGAATCAAGGACATTGAATTCATAGTCTCCTACTTTGATTTTCATTTCATGCTGTAGACTGTTGAACCACTGAGCTTGGTTTCCTTTCAAATAATCCCAGTTCTTAACTTGTTAATTCCCTAATGAGTAATTTTAAATTTTTTAAAAAAGTTTTAATCATTATGGGTACATATAGTTGCATATGTTTATAGGATACATGTGAGATTTTGATACTGGTATACAATGTGTATTAATCAAATCAGGGTAATTGGGGTATCCATCACCTCGAGCATTTATCATTTCTTTGTGTTAAGAAGTTCTGACAGAACTATTTGTGAACTATACACATTTACATATATTATTTTGTTTAAGCAGCACTTCTGGGTACATATTTAAAATTGCATCCTAGTTATTATCAATACCATTATGATTATTGTCATTATCACTGAACATATGGCAATAAATGGTGGACCAAAACATCTTCTGTCCCTGTCTGTTGGAGAGATTATTATCTAATCATACACATGTGTACATGCAATGATGATGAGCTCCTTGAATCAGAGTTGCAGAGTACTAAGAGCGCATATAGGGAGAGTTGATAGAGCCATGCAGGTCAGGAAAGGCCTTCCTGAGGAAATAATACTTGAGCAGAGATTTGGAAAATAAGCTGGTTTTAACCAAAGACAGGGGGCACGAGCACTCCATGGGATTAAGCAATAGAGCAAACATGAGGGACTGTAAAAAAAGACCAATATGACTAGAGGAGAAGAAATGAGATAAGTAGGGGATGAGATGAGGGACAATATAGGTATGGGCCAGATCATATGGAACTTTAGGCCATGTTAAGTTAGTTTCCTTGTTTTACCCAAAGATCAATGAAGAGCTTTAGTGTTAACTAGGGGGTGTTACATAATCAAATTCTGATTTTGAGCAATCATTCTGGTTGCAGCATACAGAATGAGATGGGAGAGGGTCAGGTGTTGGTCCAGGTAGACTAGTAAGGTGATTATTGCAGCAGTACAAGCAAGTGATAAAGATATCTCAACTGAGGTCATGGAAGTTGAGATGGAGAGAAGTGGAAAGATTTGGGACATATTTGGGAGAAAAAATCAATAAGGCTTGGTGAAGAACTGGATATAATAAATGATGGAGAGGGAGTCTTAGAGATGATGCCTTGGTCTTTGGTTGGTGGCAATGAAACAGGCAGAGTAGAAAAGGAGCAGGACTTGAAGGAGTTATCAAAGGCTTGGTTTTGACATGAGGAATTTGAAGAGCTTTTGAAACATCATCCATCAGGAATTGTTTCAGAAACAGTTGGATGTACAGGTCTGAATAGAAATATACATTTGTGTGTCATCTGCATAAAAGGATAATGGAAGTTATATTATCATAATATTGTCTAAGAGAGTATCGTGTGAGAAGAAGAGAAGGCATAGAATACAGCCTTTAGGAAATGTGACTTTTGTAAGCCAGGTAGAAAAGGCTATGCCAGCCAAGGAGACAGAAGAGGAGGCAAACCAGGTGGGAGTGCACTGTGTACAGGGTCAAGAGAGGAAAGCGCTTCAAGAAGAAAGAAAAGGCCAATAAATTTAGGTACTATGGAAATGTCAAGTAAGATGAGAACAGAAAAAAATGTCCTTTGGCCTTCGTTAGAAGGAATTCATTGGCAGACTTAGTGAGAGCTGTTTCTGTGGATTGACAGGGCTAGAATCCAAATTCAGGAAAGCTGAGAAGTAAAATGAGGAGACTAGATTAGATCCTCTCTGAGGTCCTTTCCAATTCTAAAATAATATAATGCTGTGATTTCTTGCTGCTGGCCAGAGTCTCCCTTTGTCACAGGTTTACCTACTTACCCTACTCATGGTTAACCACATGACTGTTGTTAAAAGAAATGATTTGCAAAGACTGTATTACTTTAAACATCATTACAACCTTAAACAAATTAGGGACAAATAATTCTCTTCTATTTTTACATTTATATTTTCTTTTGGAAAGAATCTTGAGCACAAAAAATCTTGTATGATTTTTTCCTATACAACTAATTGAGGAAATATTTCCAGGAATTGATTTTATTTTTTTGGATCAACACTGCAGGGATAAAATCAGGTCTAGAGTTTCCATGTGGATGAATTTGGAAGTGAACAGATTTGAAGCTGCAGTCCAGCGATGTCTCACACTACACCATACTGTTTTTCTTTTAAATTGAATCATTTTTTTCCCTAGGCTTTGAGAGTTAGGAAAACACATCCAAAGAATTGATTTTGTATGCAAGCAGAATGCTTGGACACTGCTGCGTTTTATCTAAAAGGAGGTTTCTGTATTCTCACTGTCATGGTGGGATAGAAATCTGGTGAAACGGTATACAGACCCCTGCTATTCGAAGTGTAATCTGTGGACCAGCAGCATCAAGTTCAGCTAGGAACTTGTTAGAAATGCAGAATCTCAGGCAGCACCTCAGACCTACTGAATCAGAATCTGCACTTCAATAAGATCCTCAGGTGATTTATCTTAACATTAAAAGGTAAAAAGAACTTGCAAAATATTTCCTCAGAATCCACTTCTTAAAAGCAAAGAATTTGTTGTTTCTCTTCTATTACATTTAAACTGATCCAAGGGCAGATTAGTCATGTATGGACTAAAAATTAATCATATTATTTTGTTTTAAAAATTAAGACCTGAAGTGGAGTGCCAAGGTGACTAACAAGGTATATTTCACAAACAAAACGTAGGTTACTCACCCAGCTTATGATGGGACATGCAGTTTTCATTCGCCCCTTGTCAAAAAATGCTAATTATCTGCATTGAACTATCTGCCCTTCTTCTTTTTTCTTAGTAATAATATTTGTAGATTTAATTTGAGACAACAGGGTTACCTATCATGCTTTTGTACTGGATTTATAAACTTTCACTATTTTCAGTCTCTTTAGCCAATTTAGGAGAAAAACATCTACACTTTATTACATGACCCTTTCTGATGATTAACATCTGGAACGGGCAGATGAACTAAACTCCCTGCCTCACTTTTCTTTGCTCCATTTCTAACATGGAGCCCTGTTGTAACCTTTAACCAGGGCAGGAAAAGGTTGCTACTGCCCCCTGCTGGTCCATTGTCTTTTTGCCTTCTCTACAAATCCGTGACTTGAAGAGAATGTTCAAGGATTTTGAGCCACTTAAGAAAGCTCAGTGGAAGGGGTTTTCCTAATAGAAAGGTAGAGAGATCCTTTGGAACATGCGGCTAAAATCAAATGAAAATATTCAAGAGGGGAGGAAGGCATAAAGTTCTTCTGAATGAAATTATCAATCCTCATGAACCCTCTTCTGTACACGGGCTTCTCTATGCCAAGGAAATGTCCCCTTCTTTTCAGCACAGGACTCCTCTTTTTGCCTCCAGCTTCAACTGACAAGGAGTGGACTAACCACACTCCTATTACAATTTCAGTACTCTGAATCCTGTTCTCTGTTTTCCCCAATTTCCTTTTCCCACGCCTAAATCTTATTTCCTTCTCTTTTTCTGCTTCAAACTCCCGTCCCGCCCACCCACCGACAGACTAGCATTTCTAGGAGCTCAGCCCCTAGCCTCTGTCGCCCTCTCCGTCTCTCCTGACCTCTGTTCTCCCCTTGTCATCACACCCCTTTCAGCACCCCCTCACTGAACGGCCAGTTTGCCAGTCACTCTTTGCCTTTGAACAGCAGGCACGTCCCCTCTTGAATGCCTCTCCCCGACCCCCGCCCCAAGCGACTGAAAAAGGAAACATGCGCACTTCAGAGCTAGGAGCTGTCCGAGTGCTGAAATTTATAGGCTGGGTAAGATCACGTCTCCGTCTCTTTCCATAGCCCTCATTCCAGCACAGGATCTCAGCAATTTCCCCCTCTTCCCCCAACCCCCACTCCAGCGCTCAGAGTCCTTTCTTTTCTCTCATTTACAACTTTTTTTTTTAAAGGAGAACATTTTCTAGGGAAAAGGGCTTTGCTAAACAGAAAGGATATAAAACAAAAGCCCCAGCAACCCGACTTCCAGCATGGCATTGTCACCAACCCCCTGTGCATGGTGATGCGATTAAGGTAGCAGCATTTTTATTATTCAGGAAAAGCAGCTGGGGGATTCATCAGTTCTGAGGCTTTGTCTTTCCTGGGTTAACTGATGGTCCCGAGTCTCGGTTTGACCTGACCATGATGCCCAAGACTGGCACTTTTTGCTTTTTCCCAGCAAACTGTACAAACCCAAATCTCTTTTTGATTTTCAAGGAAACTAGATTCCTGCCAGATTTTGAATCTGGACAATAAATAGATACTTTGTCCTAGCGTCTTTCTGGAATCATTTCGGGATATTTTCCACAAGCATCACGGAAACAGGAATGAACCGGCAGCTAGTGAACATTTTGACAGCCTTGTTTGCATTTTTCTTAGAGACAAACCACTTCAGGTAGGTGAAACGACTTTGTATGCTGATATTTTATACATGAAAACTGTTTTAAAAAGAACATGTCATACAGTTGTTATCTATTTTTCTGTGCCCTAGACCATGTTATTTTAATTTTATAGAAGAGAATTAGATTTCTTTTGTTCATTTGAAAAGCTTAATTATAGTGGGAGGGTAGTAAATTTTCACAAAAGCAAGTTTTATGATGCATAGTTCCACTCTATGCATTTCAACATGCATTTTCACAGCCAATGTGGTATTAGGGTAGTCTGATGAGTTGCATGCTCTTTACATCTTGATATAAGGGTGATATTTTTCTTTCAAATTCTTCTTGAAGTCATTTAAAGGGATTATTGGGTGCAATGTTTTTCATATGATGAAAGTGATTGGATTAATTTGCCAGGAGCATTCCCTTTTTATAGAAAATATAAAAGAACCCCAATTCTCAGCCAACTTGAGACTTCTTTTATATTTCAGCAACTAGAAGCATACTATGAGGACTACAATTCAGGAATTTTCTTGAAACATCAAAAATCTTTTTTTACTACTATATTCTACTGTTTAATCTATTTGGAAATTGATTGCCTACCAAAATGTAATTAATATGACATCTTAGTACGTATGTATGTATGAGAAATGGAGTATGCACAATTAAAATAAGCGAAAAAATCATTATTTTTATGCTTGCATTTTCTACTTAATTTACTAACTGTCAAATCAATTGATACCTCAAAATATCAAATTATTACCAGTAAGTGAAATAGCCATCTAATGACAGAGGGTGTAAGACAGGATAGAGATAAGAGATTCTCTTACAACAAAGTGTAGAACTCTTGATTTAATTTTCACTAAATTTTATGGTATTTTTTTACAGAACCAAGAGAAATGAAACACATAGCAATAATGCTATGAATACGGGGAAATCCCACTATGTTCCTTTCAGATTTACACCTCCTACTATGATTAAGAAAAAATATAGGCTGGGTTTTATTAGAATCATCATCATCATCACCACCATCATCCTCACCACCATCACAATCATCATAATCAAATAATACTTGATTAATCAGATGAATCTGCATATGGGAATGTGAGTATTTCTGAATGATTGTATCAATTTTTAACTCCTACCAAATGTTTATATCATCTTTGCACTTATTTTAATGCCCCTTCTTTGAAAAACTGACAAGAATGTGATTTTTTCCTTTGTGATGGAATTAACAAGGCTATTTGATAAACTATTGAAAACAAAGCTTGTAAAATATATACTTTAGGGAAGAAATCAGCATTCAATCAACCACTAGGTATTGTGAAAGAATTTATTTTGTTACAAACCAAATATGTTCTTTTTATAAGCTCTTTATTACTTTTAACAGGAAAAAAATTTTGAAAAATTTTCCAATCAACTTTTAGTGTTTTTGATAATGCAAAAGACAAAATGATTTAGAAGTGGTTTTTCATTAACAGTTTATTTGAGAGTCAACAATTTGAATGCTCACATATAAGTAACAACTGATGAAATAATAGAGTAACAGACATGCTCATTGTTGACCTATTTTAAAATAAAGTTAAATTTCCAAGTGAAGATTCTCTTTTAGATATCATGTTGAAGAATATTAATAGTTAATAGCTGCAATAGAATCTAGCAGGTGAGAAAATAAGCAATGGGATAGTTGCATTGATTACTTTGTTCTGCCCATCTCATTATATATTTCTTATAAGAAGTAGAGGACTTGTATTTAGGGTTAAAATGCTGGAACATTTTTTTTTTTTAAAGTCACGGGAAGAGGATTTTAAGGCAATCACATGAATTTTAAAAATTATTATCTTACTTCTCAATAACTCTAGAAAGAAATAGCTTTAACTATCCATAAATCTACTACCTAAAGCTATGTACATGTCTCATCTCAAACATCTTATGGTTAAAGTTTAGAAACTTAGAAGATTTGACTCACGATTTTTATTTCTCATCATTTAAAGTTAACTTTAGACTATGTACAAGTTCCGAAGTTGACCAAAGAGTGTATTTTTCTATTTTTCTTATTAACATATTAAATATCTTCACCAAAATGTGATGTTAAACATTTTGTGAGCACTAGTTCTCAAGGGATGAGAATGAAATTATTGTTAAAAGAGTTGATGATATGTTTAGGACGGCTTTCTGCAAAGACCATGACTCCAGGTCTGGAAAACAGCCTTCGCAGACCCCGTCTCCTTCAGATTTCTTGGACAAATTAATGGGAAGGACATCAGGATATGATGCAAGAATCAGGCCAAATTTTAAAGGTAAGTTCTACTCAAACTTATGTTAAGGCTTTGAGAAGTCTTCTAGATGTTTGAATACTTTACTCTGAAAAACATTTTCAGGGCTTTTTGTTATAAAATGAAAATGACAAGTATAGTATTCATTTATTTTGTCACTCTCTTGAATTAGTCAGTAATTTAAATATCTTAAATTTTACCTGTCACTTTCCACATTTGAAAATGTTCCCTATTTGTGTTTTATTTCACAAAATAAAACTAGTCTCAGAGATTATTGCCACAGCCCCTGTTTTTTTCTTAAGTGGGAGTGTGGCTAAAAGTGAATACAGGATCAAATGATGGATTTGACTTGCATGAACATCTACCAGCACTCATGCAAGATTCAACGATTACACAAAAATCTTGGGTTTTAGTTTTAAGTATCTACATAAAAGTGGAATTTGAGTCTCAATATAAAACATGGCATTTTATACACTTTCAAGGCCTCTTTAATTTTCAGACTTTGGGAGAAGAGGCTCTAATTTAATACATCAGAAACTTTTAGTTTCCCCTTGTTTAAGCATTATAATTGTTTATTTCAAATTATTTATCTGAAATTAATAAAGATCATAGAATTGTAAAGTGCACACGTCAAAGATGGTGGATACTTTCTTTGTTCAATTAGAAGCAAATTGAAGAGTTTTGTATTTTTGTTTGTATAACATTACAAAAATGTAGTTAATAGTATGCCAAAATATATTTTTAATCTATTTGGTTTGTTTTTATTCTGAATATGAAAAAACAGTAATAAGAAAGAACAAATTATTAATAATTGAATTATTTTGATGCTTTAGTTTTTAAATACATGTTTTAAATGACAGTTATATTTCATTTTGTAATTGAATTTAACATAATGGATTGTAAAGTGTTTATAATATTTTATAAAAGGATAAACCTATAATGTTTTATATATTGTGTGGTAGTTCATACATTGCTTTGGTTTTGCTTATTAGCAATGTAATTGCGTTGCTTTCTTTGAGTTTTAGCTTCTATTATTGGCAAATATAAGCATGAAAACTAAATTCTAAATTTATTTCTTTGTTAAATGCTACACCTCTGAATATACCCAGCTATGGGCACATTTTATAAAGAAATATATAAGAATTTTGGCAAAACAAATGTTTTTGATTTATAGATTATTTCTAAAAGAGACAACTGAACTATGTTTTGAGTTCAATTTTTCTGAAAAAAAATCTTCATGTTCATCCCATTTCCTATTAATTTTGTGATTATTGCTTTGTAAGTCAATATTTGAATAAAATCCTATGAGTAATAAGCCATGAACCAGCTTTCAATGGGATTGCTCATTCATACATTTATTCATTTAGCCATTCAACAACTTTTCAGTCTGGACTATATGCAAAATACTAACTGCCAGGTGCTTTGGAAGGGTGAGATGAAACATGTTTGGGTTCTCCCGTCAAAATTTTTGGGGAGAGTGAAGATGTTGCATGAATACTTACACTATTAGATAGAAATATGTAAGTGCCATTAAGAAGTATAGATAAATTGCTACAAGTTTCCAACAAATGGAGGGATAATTTTCTATTAAGTTATTCATGGTAAGCTTTATAGATAAGGTCAAGAGATGGAAAATTGTTTCAAGTTTTGAGCATATTGTTTTATAGCAGTTATTACTCATTCCTTTCTAGAAATGGTTTGTCAAACTGGCAAAAAAAATGCAAAAGGTGACAAATAAACACCCTTGTTGCTATTGCTACTTTAAGTGACGATGTGGCATGAACCATCATTTCCACACAATTTTTTTTTTTCTAGTTCTTCTGGGGATGTTATCCTTTGGAAATGACATTTATCATGTTTCTAAAGGATGAATGAATGAGGAGAATGTCAGGTTTAGTAAAGCATGGTCATGTTTTTGTGATTTATCTGCTATTTAAAAGCTTAAGTAACAGGATATTTTAATGACTTATGAAAAAGAAATGGGGTAGATATCACTTAAGCCTCTAATATTCATGGACTTCATTGAGTTTTGTCTCCTTCTGCCTTGAACTCTCCACTTCAATGAACACTGCTGTTCTTTCATAAACTTTATTTACATAGACCATTTATATCAGATCAATTACCTGACATCTCTCAAAGTTCTCTTCATTCTGGGGAGCTCGGCTTTTCCTGGATGTAAAACATTATACATTATTCTAGACTAAAATAATTTTCCCCTCCTTCGTGTTCCCTTGGAATTTTATATGTCTAATATGATCCTTTTCATATTTATATTTTATCAATCTACCCCTACAGTGCATCTGAGAGGGCAGGGAAATGCCTTATTTTATATATACATGCATAAAATATTGGTAGTGTAGGGAAAAGAAGTCATCCTTTTCTCCAGGATGAGGAAGTAAGGACCAACAAAGAGAGGGGAATGCAAATCAATTATGAAGATTATTGCTTCTAATTGGTTGTAGTAGAAATTGAGGGTAGGAGCTTTTGAGGGACCAACTATCAGTCATAGTGGCAAGTAAACATGATCTTAGATGAGACGAAAATAAAGAAATAAAATACAGTAATAATAGGGAACTTGTAACATTGTGGAGGTTAAGAAAAACACTACAGTACTTACTATGGCTGATTAACAATATATCAATGAGAAATTTTATATAATAGGTAGAAATGAAGGGTGATTAGAAATATGATTGCATCTGGAATAGTGGCAGGCTCCCTGTAAATGCCAAAAAGCAAATCGACTATGATAACAATAAACATAATGATGATGATGATGACAATTATAACAGTGACAGAAGGTCAAAATTTGACCACAAGAATAAAATCAAGAGCCAAATACAGGCCCTTGGGGTAAAGGGAATAGCCATTCTAGAAGTCTTATTAAATGTTAGCATATTTCTCTGTTTTCCTTGCTGCCATCCAATGGTAAGGGAAAAAGAAATGCATATGCATAATTTTTCTTATTGGAAAGAATTTTTCTGACATACTTTCAAGTCAGTAAAATATTGCATGTCTATTCCATGTCCCTAATGGGCTTGGAAAGATGTCATAATGGGCATATATACAAGAAGGAAGATAGACGTAAGCTAGAAAAGGGAACCAGAAATGATTCAGACTTAGACTCTGTAATTGAGAGACATTCTTAGAAACTGCAGGAAAAAATAGCTTTTCTGATGTGCTGAAGCACAAGTGTATAAACAAAGTCGTGAGTCAGAACTGCCAATTGAATTCCATCTATAAGATACATAGAGACCTGGGTCAGATCTTGTCAAAACATAAATTTTCAGAATCTTCAGTTCAGATAAAAACACAAGCTATGTCCATTCACAATTACCTGGTTCTGAGACCATGGTAAATGTTGATTCTATATCAACAGAAGAGCCTGTTTCCCCACATTGATGATTTGTCACATTTTCTGTTGATTTATCATGGTATCATTCCATCATCCTATCAGATATTCCTTTGTCAGTATTATTGTAGTTTGAAAATACCACTTTAAACATTAAGCTTTTAATGAAACACCAAAACTTAAGCAAAATACATTAGTTCTGTTTCTCTCTTTTTGAAAAGAGGCCTTTATCTATTTTAATGAAATTCTCTTTAAAATTGTTTAAAATTAACTTAGAGTTATATTCTGAGTTTTATCCCAATGTGAATAAATACATTTCACTATAGCATTCTTTCTGGGATAGGATCTAGAATAGATAATGCCAGGAGATAATTATTCACTCCACTTCTTTGTGCATGCCATGCACACTAATTTTTTTCCACGTCTAGAGACCTAAATTTGTAAGTGTGATGTGTGACATTAAAACCTACATTTGCATGAAATATGGTTTCCTGCAATTTCCAAGAAGTAGCAGCTCAAGAGGTGTCTCAGATATAAGTAGGACCAGATCCACTTCCATGAAACTGGAGGTCTTCAGTTTTTGCCCCTTGGAAATGTTCTTGTCTGTAGCCAAGTGGAGCTCAAGTTCAAATGTGGTGAATACCAACCCCTGTAGGGGGCGCTTGAGCACGTGTCCAGCAGGGTCATTTCGAAAGGGTGCTTCTCTCAGTTAGTGATAATGCAGCCCCAGCATGAACATTTCTTTGATCACCCTGGTTGATGTGGGCATCAGACGTTATATGGATCCTGAGAAAGAGAAGCAGAATGCTTGCAAGTACCAGAAGCATTAGACTTCAGTGCAGAAAGTAGCAGAAGCCTTTAGGCACCTGAAAGAGCAAAGCCATGGTCATGCTGAGATTGCGGTTTTATTAGGAACTGTAGAAAGTAATTGGCTCAATTATAAGTTACCTTGGTAGTGATTATGGAATTATCTGGATTATCCATTGGATAGTTACCTTCTTCACAGAAGAATTCCTAGTCTCCCTTAATTCTAGGTCTCCCTTAATTAATCAACAGCCTTGGGGTAAATCACTCCTTAACTGCTGAGGTGAAAAAAAAGCCCTAATGGAACTAAGCCTATGTTGAAACATATGAGAGTAATTGTTAGGAAGTATACAGATAAATGGGTTTTCAGGTTTCAACAAATGCCAAGCATGAGTCAGAGTTTTCAATTTTAAAGATTTTTAAAGGATATAAATATAACATGATTGAGATACTATGTTTTAGTTATGAAAATAGCAGCCATTTTAACTGGCCTAGAACTAAGCCCAATTGCAAGATAGTTGACATTCCTATCAGGATAAAATTGTTCTTGGCTGAATACATAGGCTATAGCTATCTATGGGGACCAGTCATTGAAGAAACTAGAGGACAACTAAGGGAGAGCAAAAACAAGGAAGTAGAAATTTATGGCTGAAAGGAAGAATGGTTTTAGTAGAAGTATTATAAAATTACTTTGCAAAGTACATATACTATGCTTATATATCCACCTTCCAAAGTACATGTAGTATGGGGACTATGTGTACACAGTGTATCTGTGTATATACATATACTATGTTTGTATATGCAATAGAGTATCTCTGAAAGATACACAGGAAAGTGGAAACATCAGTTACCTCTGAGAAAGAGGACTAGA